CTTCTTAAAAAAAATTTAATTTAATTTTCATCGCGTTCCAGCATTAACAAACTCTTCGTTAATCATTTAACGAATTGCGTTACACTTGTTCAATGAACAGAAGAATTAAAAACAGAAGTGAAAAGTAAAATTATCCCTCTGAAGTATTCCATTTCGCGCGACTGATGTTTATTTTTCGAAAAATCCAATAGAAAAATATCTTCCGCAAAGTCCAAGCGACAATGGTACCTCGTGTCCATTTTAAGTCATCACGAGGCTAATAAAAATCAAACGTTTAAACAGTAAAGCTTCGTCGATACGTATTTCACACGCGTCGAACGGAAAAGCTAGACGGATTTTTAACGCACTATAGGGATCTTCGTGCGAGGAATAAAGGACTAAGTGAATTACACGGACGTTTTATATTGTCTAGCAAGAGACGAGTCGAACTCGCACCAATTCTTCCAAAATCCCAAGCCGGGATTATTTATTACGGAAGAAAACCGATGGGCAAATCAATTGATTCAACGGACAGTTTTATGGTGAACTTTTCCTTCCGAAAATCCCTCCCCCGGAGGGAAATTTGATTCGATAAATAATTTAAGAGCCACAGGACAGAGACACGATCTCTGATCTCCGTCGTAAAATATGATCTATTGTTTGAAATGTTTCGATTAACGACGTCACTCTCGAAATGAAAGCTGTACGTTGTTTAAATTCGATTGATTTTGATTGGCCATTGTAACGCGAGTTCGATTCCCGTTCCAAAATTGAACTTCATACTGACGGATCCTCAATATATGTGGAAAACTGAATGGAACTTTATCGAGAAATGGAATTTTCGCACTGTAGAAATTATTTTCCAAGACCGAGGGTTTTATACAAATGGCGTTGGGAGAGATCGAAGACGAGTTTGTCCACATCTTTGATTGAAAAATTGATCAGAGCTACATGCTGTGGGAATTGGTCTTTGAGATTTATTTGCGCATGAATATTAAGAGATATTTTACTTTTGAGTTGATTCACTCTGGATGAAAATTAAAATTTTTTTTTTTTTTATTAACACTTGAATAGAATTTTACACTGGAGAAATTGTTTCTACAAATAGATTTATATATAAACGATATTGAAAAATATTTTTTAAAACGATATATTTGTTTATTTGCTTATTTTAAAAGACGAGCATTGGTTCAAGGTGATTTCTCTGTATTACATTGCTTTTTTTTTATATTTCCATAGATATTAAATATTGTTAAGTATTTAAAATGAATAAATGGATTCTAAATTTCATTTCTAAATGCCATTCTGAAACTTTCCATTTTCATCTGTATCGCATTTTCAATTTGATTTAGAACGTTTTTCCATGGAAATATTTATTCTCCATTATAAAATTCTCGTGAAAGTAATGAAAGCATCGCGATGATAGTTGATGATGGCGATGAAGTGTGGTGGTTTTCAAAAGATATTCGACACGTATATTTCGTTATCGACCAACTTGCACACTGAACGGATGGAAATTGCTCTTCAAGTTGTAGGTAGTAAATGTATCTGGCCTCGTAAAATGTTACAGCTACAGAAATGCTGCAAACGGATGAATTTTACATTTTTGAAGACGGAGTTTCTAAGCAGCAAGCTTTCAAACAAGTTTCGTCCCTTTCGTTTAAAATTTGTCACAATAGCATAATATAAATAATAATAATTACGTAATGTTAAACGAAGACATGTAATATTAATTATAAAACAATAACGAGTATTAAAGAAAGAAAATATCAAAGATCAAACACTAAGAAACTTGCCAAAGATTTTATCTCTGAGAACATGTTATATTTCATGGAATTACAACGTAGTTCTAACTATATCAGGATATATCAGAATTTTTAATTATACATTGTAATTATAACAAATAAAAATATTTCGCTACTGCTAAAAATTCTTCAAATCGCAATTTGTTAATTTCGAAGCTAAGAAACTACCAAATCTGCAAATAAAATACATGGAAGCCAAGAAGCTAGCCAATTTGCAACTAAGATACATCAGAGTAAAGAAAATCCGTAATTCTCAAACAAAATACACGTATCAAAACCAAGAAACTAGCCAAAGAATCCCTTGGATCGAAAGTCGAATCTTCAGTGAACTTGGTGTGTTGTCGATCCATCGACCTTTGATTACCGGCAATTACCAGAACACCGAAAAATACTCCTGTTAGTCTCTGTCGTTTACAAACAAGAAGCAATCCCTTCCATCCAACCCGAAAACCCTTCGCGCTCGGCCCCAGGGGAATTCCAGTGACCAAAATCCGCGGGGACAATCGCGTCAATTACGATCGATCGGTGGGACAAACGAGCGAACCGAGTCGGGCAACAGGAGCAGATGACTCGTTTCGCGCAGTTTTGCAGGACGCGATTTAATAGAGAAATCTATTTGCGCCGTGGCCGATTCGAGAGCCGCATTGACACCGATGTGTACGCGTTGGAACGTGAACCAGCCCGCAGGCGTGTTTCGACCCCTGGCCAGCCGATTATACAGGCCTGTAATTAAAGATCGATGATCGATGCCGCACCATCGTCGATTGATTGATTGGTGGCCTGTCCAGTCGCGATAACTATAGTCCAACCGACTGACTGTCCTGCGGATCGCGTTCCATGGACCGTCGCGATTCGAATTCTTGGAATCGTTTGCAACTGGGAATCCTCTACCAGACGGCTGATATTGATTGTGTTGCGTGAGTGCTGAGTGTGAATCGGTGATCTTGGAAGATCTTCACTTGGTCCGTTCTTTTGGTTTCATTTGCAGAGTTTGATAATTATCAGATTCGCAATTTTTAAATTGCGAAATTGTAAAATGTGGCGAACGAGCAGTGCATTCTGTTGAATGAATATATGACAATGTAAATAATCGAAATCGAAGGAAAGTTGGAAAAGCTATTGTAAGATGATAGCTTGTAATTTAATAATAAGTGGCATTTTGTATCTTTTTAAACACTGGAATTGAACTGAATAATCATTGAAAAAAACTATCAAGAGAAATTCAATTAGCCCTTGAAATTCAATTTCTCCTAGGAGATAGTTTCAGCAACACATGCAGGGTGAATATTGTTCCAAATATATAATATATATTAGAATCTTATTATATTTGTAAATATACGTTCTCTTTCTCAAAGATAATCATATTAATTATTATTATCACGAATTCACTATTGTCAA